GGAAGGTGACCGCGTCTCCTTCCTTCTCTCGCAGACTTTTCATCTCTATGGGTGTCTTTGGACTGCGAGCCTTCGTCCGCTCCTCTACGTCAACAGCGGAGCCCTTCACTCTATAATCTCTATAGTTTAGCCGGTTCCTCCTTTGGTTGTAGTGGAATTCTGCGATGACTTTCCTAGACCAGACCAAAACCCCTTCGTCGTATGGTCGTCCCTGATTCATTCTGCTGTGGCACTGTAAGAAGTGAAAGACGGCCTCCTGGTAGTGCTGGAGTCCTCGCCTATTCACCTTAAACTCATACTTGTGGCAGCTGTTCCTAATCGCCCTCTTGATCCTTTCCCACCATTCCAGTAACTCATCAAAATAGATGTCATGCAGGGTCAACATACTGGCCAAAACGTTAGCCATATTGTCCCTGCAAGACGCGTCCAGCATCTTGGGTCTGAGTCTACACAGGGGTCTGCCCCTAGGGTATACCTGCCCAAAGCTCAGCTCGACAGCCAGAATGGTGTGATCTGACCACGGGGTGACGACGATGTTGCATTTCTCTGTCTTGACCTCCTTTGGGGCTCTGAACCGGTCTAACCTGCTTGCTGTTTTCCCCGAATAGTAAGTGAACCTCACCCCATCTGTAGTGGGGAAAGTATCTAGAAACGCCTTCCTGCAAGGCACGGGGAAGAAGTTCAACGAGTTAGGCACCTCCAAGGCTTTATCCCGGAGTCCTTGACTCATCAGGAATTTTTCTAGGTCCCTTTCCTCTGCACTCAGGGCCAGTGCTCTGCTCCGAGCGGGAGAGTTGACCGCACGAATCCTGTCGGATAATTTAGTCCTATTGTTGAAGTCTCCCGCTATTATCAAACAGCGCTGCGTGAAGCAGAAGTTCTTGAGGTTTTCCCAAAACCCTTTCCTCCGGGAACTATCCACAGGCATGTAGAGACCACATAAGCGAAAGGGCCTCGAGATCTCCAGGCCGTCTGCCGACAAATCTTTTAAGGAGATATCGATCACGATCAATCTCCCCAGGAGGGCCTCTAAAATGTTGTCAATATGGAGATTATGTTTTTCCCTAAATAGTACAGCTACCCCTGCACCACGTTCTTCTCCGTAGGACCACACCGACGGTCCCGGGGACCATAATCTCTGAGCATGGCTCCTCTGCTGCTCGTTGCATATGTGCGCCTCCTGTAAGACCGTGATATCATAGGGAAGCTTAGCTAGTTGTGGGATGATCTCCTCCCTTCTCTTTGGTTGTCGTAGACCTCGTGTGTTCCAAGTTGAAAGGCTAAGTGTTGCCATAAGTGAGAATAGATAAAGGAATTGGTGCTGTCTATCCAGTATACAAGGAATTGTAAAAGGTCTCAATCTGCACCGCTTCCTGAAAGACACGAGCCCCGCTTCAATGAGGACCGCTATCCTCACGTCTCAGTTCTTGCTCCGCTCTCTCTGAGGAAACTTCTACCTCCTCGGACAAAGCCCGAGGCGTAGCCCTACCGTCTCAGGATTAACTTGTTCCCATGCTCAGGATTAGGGTTCAATAACTGAGAATATAATCAGAGTTAGTTTAAGCAAGCATAATCCTTTGGAAATGAGAATGTTGATTGGGGAAGGTACAATACAGGAAGAAAAATAAATCTTCCAATCAGTGGAATATAAAATCAGCACTTCTGTAATTTGTATTTGTAGAAAGGGAAGTAAGCATGCAAAGATCCCAATAAAGCCTGCTTCAGCTGAAACTTCCCAGTTTCTCACAGGATCTTCTCTCACACTCTGCCCTGTGGGAAAGATCCTGAAAGAGAGACAGATGAATGGATGCTTACAATGAGATGGATACAAGCAGACACATGCCACCTGAAACCTAATTCAGCAGAATTATTCTTTCCCACATAAGTCCATCTACCACCATGTGCCCTACAAGAAGGTTCACGGGAAGGGAGCCAGGAGGGTAGATTGTTATCACCTCAGAGACTGTCTCACAGTTTCACAAAGTCATCTATGCTATGGGAAGGATCCTAGAAGACAAAAGGGACACCAGAAGGCCAGACTCTCCCAACTACTCTGGTCTCCTAGCAGGGTCACCTAAGGTGGAAAGGTCAGAGCTGAAACACCAAACTAAGATGCATCTCCCTTCTTCAGAGTAACATTCACATCAGCAAAAGAGAATGAATATATATTTTCATTCAGACAAACAGGAAGTATTTTGCTCAGGCAATAACAAACTCAGAAGAAATTGAGTGACTCCAGTATTGAGGCAAGCTGTCCCACAGGTAGTAACGGGCTGTAATGCAAAACTATTAACATAACCAATATTCAAGTCTATGTTCCAATAACAGATGCTGAAGAAGAAATGGAAAACTTTTACACAGGCATCTAGGAGGAATTGTATTTATCCCTGAGATCTTGTATAATAGGACGGCATACAAAAGCTTTTAATAAATAAATAAATATGGATCTTAGGAATGTAAAAGTAGGAAACAAAGCAGATCACAATGTTGTGGGAGGATTTGGCCTAGGAGTCAGAAATTAAGCAGTAGTACAACTCACAGAACTCTGTGCAGTCAATAATCTGCATATTGTAAATACATACTTCAGGCAACCAATCAGAAGACTGTTCGCATGGATAGACTCCTTCAAAGAGGAATCCTGTCAGGAAGAACCTACAATATTAGAAAGTGAAATGAAGGTGGAAGGATAAATCCATTATTAAAATATGCAAATAATACCATATTACTGGCACAAAGCAACAATAAATTGAACTGACTCCTTTGAAAGTGAAAGAAGAAAATACAAGAGCAGTAGTGCAGCTGAATATTAATAAAACAAAAACCATGACTACATAAAAATTACAGAACTTTACAGTCAACAATGAAGAAACAAATTTTGCATACCTTGGCCCAGTCATTAATTTAATCAGAGACTGTAGCCAAAAAATTAGAAGAAGACTGAAATTAGGAAGGGCAGCCATAAAGGAACTTAAAAAATCATCAAGTGTAAGGACGTTTCACTGGAGATCAAGGCCAAGATCCACTGTGCTGCACTCCCTATCTGTATGGATGGTTGTGAAAGCTGGATAGTGAATAATGCTGACAGGTGTAAAACGGATGAGTTTAAAGCATGGTGTTGGAAGACTGCAAATACCCTGTACTGACAGAAAGACAAACAAGTGGATTGTAAATCAAATCAAAACTTTCCCTGGAAGCAAAGCTGATTAAATTGAAGCTGTCGCACTTTGGGCACATCAAGAGAAAGAGAGACTCACTGGTGAAGACAACAGTGCTAGGGAGAGTCACAGGCAAAAGGAAAAGAGGAAGACCAAACATGAGGTGACTTGATTCCATAAAGGAAGCCATAGCCTTGAGTTTACAAAAGTTTAGTAGGGCTGTCAAGAACAGGACATTTGGAGGTCATTCATTCATAGGGTCTCCGCAAGTTGGAGATGACTTGATGGCACATAAACAACTAATTATAGCACAGAAAATCTATAATTCCATTAGGTAAAATTTGTTTCACAGACCACTGAATTTATATCTTAGAGACCAACAGTAGTGGGCATTCAATACAAATCATACTCTGTATGATTTAAAACTTACATTTTCAGAGATGCTAGAACAACAGAAGAACATTTAAGATACACATATGAGGATAAGAAATTTCAGGAATGAAATGCAGATAAGATAATATCTAGAATTGTATAACAATCTCGAATGCTCCTTTGAAACATTATTGAATACTGATGTGCCATCAGTATGCAGATCAAAAGTGTGCGTGTGCGTGTGTGAGAGAGAGAGGGGGGGGATTCAGATGTCCTTTGATCCATGGATATTTTAATTAACCTTTCTACATGTTAATTAATTGTTCTTATTATAATGTAACTATTGTAACTGGATGTACTTTTGAATATCTTATAAGGACCACTTCTCATTGGCATGGAACATCTATGTAATATAGTGAAAGCCTTCCCATATCATGGGCATGGACCTGATGCTAAGGCTCTATAAATATTATTTAAAAGGAATATTTTAAAATTGTTTATGTATTGTAGCATAACAAAACCTAAGTGTATGGTTGCAACTATATATCTCAACAGGGAACAGCATTTTCCCTTAGGACATAACAATAGTTAGCATTTTAAATCAGATTAGTCAATTTCCCATGTACTGTCAATTGTGCATGAAGAATAAATCAGTATTTGGTTAAGGAAGGGGGTTACTTAAAGGTTATTATGTTCAATTGGCCATTGAAGCAAGAGACTCACATGCATTTTTAAGGCTCATGAAGTGCCATGTTTGTTGTAGGTGGCAATGGACAGGCACAAGATGCCATTTCTCTGATGTCTTTTAGTGAGTGGGAAGCACCAATTGTAAGAAAGATGGCTTTATCTGAATGTTAGTGACTTTAACATTACAGTCACTTCAATACTAGCTACAAAACAGTATTCTTTCCCTAAACCCCAAAGCATATTCTCCAGCTTGGCTGCAGATCAGTGTTCTGTCTCTACACCCAAATCTCAACCCCTGTCTTGTCACCTTCCCAATGCAGAGAAAGAATGGTTTGTTCTAGAGTTGTTCCTCTTGCTTCTCCAGTTTGATGCAATGAGTGATTCATTGGTAAACAGCTTAAGGACACACTGTCCCTGCACTTTTAGCTATTTACATTTGTAGCAACCAAACAGAATGCACTAACACAAATGACATGTTCATGACAATCTGTAAGTGCTAAATATCTATTTCTAAAGGGATGTTTCAGAATTAATATAGGAAAGTTGAGTGAATATTTTAGGTGATTATTTCTCTGGAGCTCTGCCTTAGAGGCAGGTTGGTCTTCATCATCACCCCAAGCCCTGTAATGTTCTTCCTTTACAGCAGAATCACTGACAATCAATGGTTACCTTTGAAAAAGGTGTGGATGAGATGTGCTCAGTGCAGTGCTGTGTTAGTTTCTAATGCTGATGTTGCTAGAGCAAATAATTTAAAGTCATTTCTGTGGAATTTTATTCTGCACTTACCATCAAGTCTTGTCATTACATATTTGTCTGAATCAAAGCTCTGTATGTCTTGAAGAACTGTCTCAAGATAGGTAGTCAGGAGGGTTCTTTTTTCAGCTAGCTCCTTCATTTTCTGCTCTGCATAAAAGAATGTCCACATTACTAATTGCATTTTAAAACTTTTCTCTACAGAAGATGTCAGCCTATGAAACTGAGTATATTGGAATAAGCTGAAATTAAGTATCATGGAAGTTGTGTGTCCAAATAGCTGTTTATACAGCTTTGCTAGTCATGTTAACACAAATCCATTTGTGCAGTAAGAGATCTGGATAGCAACAGTAGCAGTTATGTTGCAGAGGTAGCCCTAAGCTTTTATGCATCATAAGCTACTGGTTATGGTAAGCTCCCCTATTTTTTTTATATATATATATATGGATGGAACTTCTATGCCGCCCCATTCGCCGAAGCCTCGGGGTGGCTCACAACCATAAATAAATAGAATCCTATAAAACAATATAAATTAAGTCGCCCTGGCCAAAGAATAAAATAAATAAATAATATTAACAATTAAAATAACGTTTGAATAAAAAGGTCTTCACCTGGCGCCAAAAAAAAATAACGACGGCGCCAGGCAGACCTCTCTGGGGAGCGCATTCCATAGATTGGGCACCACTGCAGAGAAAGCCCTCCCCTGAGTACTTACCCTCCTAATTTCGTTCACGGAGGGTTCCCGGAGAAGGGCCTCTCCCGCTGATCTCAAGGGGCGGGCGGGCAGGCGTATATGGACGTAAGCGCTCCTTCAGGTAACCAGGACACAAGCCATTAAGGGCTTTATAGGTCATCACCAACACCTTGAATTGGCCCCAGACTTCAATGGGAAGCCAGTGAAGCTGACGGAGGACTGGAGTCATGTGAACATAATGTCCAGTGCCCGTCAGCAGCCTGGCAGCTCTATTTTGAACCAATTGAAGCATCCAGACTATCTTCAAGGACAGCCCCACGTAGAGGGCGTTACAGAAGTCAAGTCCGGAAGTCACCAACGTGTGTGTCACTGTCGCCAGGCAGTCATTCTTCAGGTAGGGGCACAGCTGATGGATCAGCCGAAGCTGAAAGAAAGCGCTCCTCGCCACTGCTGTCACCTGAGCTTCCAGTGAAAGCTCTGGGTCGAGGAGCACTCCCAAGCTATGGACCTTGTACCTAAGAAGAAGTGCAACCCCATTCAGGACTAGGTTCAATTCACCTTCCCCGGAGCCCGATCCACCAACCAACAGGACCTCTGTCTTGTCTGGATTGAGCTTCAGTCAATCCCTCATCCCTCATCCAGCCCATTACCTTGGCCAGGCACCGGTTCAGCACAGCCACTGCCTCACCTGGATTGGTGGAGAACGAGAGGCAGAGCTGGGAATCATCAGCATACTGATGATTCTGCAGCCCACACCTCCTGATGACCTCTCCCAGCGGTTTCATGTAGACGATAAATAGCAAGGGGGACAAAATGGATCCCTGCGGTACTCCACGGCATAGCTGCCATGGTGCAGAGCCATAGTCCCTCAGCACCACCTTCTGGAATCAGCCATTGAGATAGGAGCGGAACCACTGCAAAGCAGTGCCTCCGACCCCCAATCCCACTAGCCTATCCAGAAGGATACCATGGTCGATGGTATCAAAAGCTGCTGAGAGGTCCAGAAGAACCAACAGGGATGCACTCCCCCTGTCCTTCTCCCTGCACAGGTCATCGTACAGGGCGACCAAGGCAGATTCAGTACCATACCCGGGTCTGAATGCGGACTGAAATGGGTCCAGATAATTATATAAGATGCTTGAGTACAGGAAATATATAATCCTTAAAAGCTGTTGTTGTTGTTGTTGTTGTTGTTGTTATAACATTTCTATGCCGCCCCTTGCCGAAGCCTCGGAGCGGCTTACAACACAATAAGATACATTGAAATACAATAGAAAATAATAAATTACCACTAAATACAAAAATACAAAAAATACACTGAGATACAATAATATAACATTAAAATTAACAGTATAAAATAAGTAAATAAAGAATACAGGAGGAGAAAAGAGAAGGAAGAAGAAGTTGCCCTGGCCAGATCATATATTTTAACAATTAAAATGATGTTTAAATAAAAAGGTCTTTACCTGGCGCCGAAAAACCAGTAACGACGGTGCCAGGCGGACCTCTTTGGGGAGTGAATTCCATAGGTTGGGTGCCACTGCAGAGAAAGTCCTCCTCCGAGTACTTACTGTCCTAATTTCTTTCATGGAAGGTTCCCGGAGAAGGGACTCTCCCGCAGATCTCAAGGGGCGGTCGGGCATATACAGACGTAAGCGCTCGTTCAGGTAGCCAGGACCCAAGCCGTTTAGGGCTTTATAGGTCATAACCAACACCTTGAATTGGGCCCGGGCTTCAATGGGAAGCCAGTGAAGCTGACGGAGGACTGGAGTCATGTGAGCATAACGCCCCGTCCCCGTCAGCACCCTGGCAGCTCTATTTTGCACCAATTGAAGTGTTCGGACCATCTTCAGGGGAAGCCCCACGTAAAGCGCGTTACAGAAGTCTAGGCAGGAAGTCACCAGCGCGTGTGTCACTGTCGCCAGGCAGTCGTACTCCAGGTAGGGGCGCAGCTGATTAATCAGCCGAAGCTGAAGGAAGGCGTTCCTCGCCACCGCTGTCACCTGAGCTTCCAAAGAAAGCTCCGGGTCGAGGAGCACTCCTAAGCTGCGGACCTTGTGCATATGCAAAATCCATGTGTGTGACTACACAAAGGCCACAAAGAGGAAACAATACAACTGTAACAACTTAAAACTGCCACATCATAAGCAACATGTCACCAAAAACAGTTCTGAATAGCAGAAGTAATCCATGCATCAGCCATAGATGCCTGGCACCAATACGATAGTTTAGTCATAAGGTTACATAACAATATCCTTCTTCTTCAGAAAGAGACATAACCTGCCTAAACTGTGAAGCTCATAGGTGCCAGTGGTTGCCGAGAGTGCCCATCTATGTAGGAGCAAAACAATCTCATGGGACAAGGATATTCCCACCCAAATTAATTCCACTAACAGCTCCTGCATGCTGAGAGTATGCATTAATATTGCCTCCATCTTGAAGAGTTTAATTATCAGAGTATTTAACTTAATTCATACAGATACAGCTATGAAATTGCTTTAAAACCAAGGCAGGTGATTGCAGATGCTGTATTAATGGAGGATATCATCACTCTGAATGATCTTTCAAAAACTTCCTACAGATTCTAAATGACACAATAAAACCGAACTAGATGTTGTTGTATTTTAATAACTTAAGATATATTTTTAATCCTGATTTTATTGTTAGCTGCTTTGAATGCCATTTTTGTGAATAAAGGTAAATACAAATTAAATAAATAACTAATAAACAAACAATGCCCAGGGAACAGAGCTACGTTGAATGCTCCCATTATAAATTAAAACCAATCACTATTAAATGTTCAAGTGAGTTTCAGAATTACATGGACCATAGTTTATCAGAGGAAAACCTTTCTTTGTCGTAGCTCCCTGATTTTGGAATGCCCTTCCAGGAGAGGTATGTTGGGTACTGACACTATTGGGGTGGGTGCCACAATAAACCTTTTCTTTTCCTAGGCATCTAAGTATTGTTCTTTCAGCTGGACTTCTTCCTGTCAATTTTATTGCTACATTTCAATATTTCAGTTGCTTTTAATTATATTTTACAATTAATTTTTTATTAATACAAACCTGATTTTTTAAAAATTAAGGCACAGTTTAACATTTCAAACAAACAGATGATGCATTTGTTGTTGTTATGTGCTATCAAGTCATCTTCAACCTATGGTGACTTAATGAATGAAAGCACTGTGATAAGTCCTGTTCTTGACAGCCCTGCTAAACTCTTGTAAACTCAAAGCAGTGACTTCCTTTATGGAATCTAGTCACCTCATATTTAGTCTTCCTCTTTTTCTTCTGCCTTTGAATCTCTCTAGCATTGTTTTCTTCTCTGGTGAGTCTTGCCTTCTCTTGATATACCCGAAGTATGACAGCTTCAGTTTGGTCAGCTTTGCTTCCAGGGAAAATTCTACTTGATTTGATCTACAATCCACTTGTCTTTCAAAGCTCTCTTCCAGCACCAAGTTTTGAACTCATCAGTTTTATTCCTGTCAGCATTGTTCACTGTCCAGCTTGCACACCCATCCCTAGTGATAGGGAATACAGCAGAGTGGATCTTGGCCTTGATCTCCAGTGAAACAGCCTTTTCTACTTCCTTCATGGCTGCCCTTCCTAGTCTTAGTCTTCTCCTAATTTCCTGGCTGTAATCTCCATTTGAATTGATGACCGAGCCATGCAAAATTTACATATCTTTAATTTCTTCATTGTTAGTATTAAAACATGTGATTTTTCTGTAGCTTTGATTTTTGTTTTCTTAATGTTCAGCAGCAGTCCTGTTTTGCACTTTCTCTCATTTTCATCAGGAAATGAAAGTCACTGGGAGATCAAATGGTATCAAAAGGGAAGAATTCCCCCATGTAACTCCAGGTGCAGGTTTTAAACTCAGAACCCACTAAAGCCATCTCAGTCCCATAAAGAGAGAACTACTTGAAAGGGGTTGAGGAATGATGTATCATTACTCAATACTGCACAGCCAATTCGCTTTGCTAATGAGGGAAAATGTGAGACACAGCTCTGATCCTGAGTACATTAACTCTTGGGTCCAGAGTTCTCATGAGCTCTGTTTCAGAAGGGCTCCACAGAAGGAAACAAGGAGGAATTTTTTGCTGATTAATAGTACCTTGTGGCCAGTGAAAAGCTGCTCTAAAGGATTAGTGGATTCTCCAGAACAATACAGTTCTGCCCTATTTGGAAGGAGTATCCAACACACTATGTAACACTTTACTTACGATTCGTGCTGCCTGACAGATTATTTACAATAGCCTGCAAAGCTTTCAGTTCTTCCACATTTTTTTCCATATTTTCCCAAACCAATCTTCTCTTCTCGGATAATTTTGCTAACTCTCTTTCTATAAAGAGAAATAGTTTAGAATTATCAGCTGAAAAATGTTCAAAATTCATGAAATTTTACAAGAACACATTACACTAGTTCACTTCCAGCAACACTGACTGCTGGTTCAAAGTCCAAGCCCAATTTAAACAAGTACTATTCAAAGGCTTAAAGGGCTTAGGGACAGGTTACCTGAAGGATCGCCTCTTCCCATATATACCTCCCCAGAACACAAGGTCATTTCTAGGGGTCCTTCTCCATGAGCCTCTTCCAAAGGAAGTGAGGGAAATGGCTAGCAGGAGGAGGGCCTTTTCAGTTGTGATACTCCAGTCTTTGAAGGAGCTCCCCAAATAGGTACCCCTGGTGTTTACTTTATATTCTTTTTGGTGCCAGGTGAAGATCTTTTTATTTTCCCAATATTTTAATAGTTTAACTTTTCAACTTTGTTTTAATATATTTCATTTTATTCTGTACCACTGCTATGCTTCTACACTGAATTATAGCAATTGCAATTATGTTGCATGTGTTTTTAACTTGTTTAATTTTAACTTTGTTAACCAACCAGAGAGACTTGGTTATTGGGTATAAAATGAATTAAATAAATTAAATATTCTTTTGTTATTTTGATGACTGAGGATGAAGAATATTTACCATTATCAAAGTAAGCAAAAAATAAAAACAGAAATAGCTGCACTCATTAAAATGTAATAGAAATACAATAAAATGGTTTACTGAATTACCAACTATCTTGAATAAGATGGAGGGAAGATTTAAGTATCACTTAAGTATTAACAAAGTATTCATATAGGGCATAGACCACAATCCTAAAAACACTGAAAGTTAAAAACATTTCACCACATAGGTAGTCTGGGAAAACATTCAGACTCTTACTATATTTTTCTCTCGTATTCTGTTTATGATCAGAATGTAAACCACCTCCTATGTTATGTTTGCTAATGTGATATCATTTCAGCTACTTTACCTGGTGGATGGAACAGTCTTAAAAGATAGACTAGATGAGTTTAAAAGCATTAAATGGAATGATCACATAATGCCACTGCTTGTGGCAGCTGGAAAATACCAAGTCATTGGAAATTGTGAGGAATTATGACAGAGAAAAGGGGAAGTTCTTCATATTGGAATGGGTCTGGATTGTCTCTCATTAGGAAAACATGTCTATTCTATCACATATCAGTTAGGTAAAAAGACCTTTCATTTGTGAACCATTGTGTATCTGATCATATTTTCCATTCTGTACTTACCACTAGGCGTTGGTATTTCCAGTCTGGTTGAAAGAAGATCCTGTAATTGTTTCATTTCTTTCATAATTGTCTGTAAACCTGCGGTCAAAAGTCTTCTTTTTTCAATGAGCTCTTGTACCTTTTGCTCTGCAAAAAATAGCATAAAATGAAGACTAGATCTTTTACTATATGGGACTAGCTAAACAAACCATGGGGCTCCCGTGATAGTAGGCATAGCAGGAAGATACAGACCACCACTACATCAGTAACAAAACTTGCAAGTCACATATATATATATAACTTTCTGAACTGTTGCTAAAAATAGATAGAAGTCTTTAGAATTTGCTACTTCCCATATCTTAAATTGTGGCATCCCAGATCAACAAAGACTGCCCTCTTAGGGGTATCTGAGGTGAGTATATCTAAGAAATCAGCTGTACAAAAGATTATTTATACAAAATAGTTATGCCTACTCTTTTTTCCAGTTCTGTTTGAAGAAACAAACATAACATAAATTGAACATTATTTTCACAGTTTAACAAACAAATCCTAACCCTTGATGAAACTAGTTGAAGGTGCCTAGGATGGGGCAGGCGAATGCTGCTGGTGTTGGAGAGGAGCACAGCCTCTCTACCCTACACAGGATACTCATGTTTGAGTTACAGATTTATGGATTGGGTTGTGCCCTTAATGTGAAAAAGGGATATCAAATCACATAAATACTTACCATTCACATCATTGTGCTGGACAGCTGCAAGAGCCTGGGCTTCTTTTAGGGCTTTCAAATTTGAAGCCAAATTTTCCAAAAACTGTTTCTTTTTTTCAGATAGTTCTTCAAGAATTCTTTCTACAAATAGAATGTGGAAAACTAAGAGCACAAAGTCCACCTCCTTTAAAAATCTCCTAACTGTAGCCAGAAACTGCAAGGAACCGTTTTCCCACCTTTTTCTAGATCGGGGTCTCAAACTCGTGGCCCGCAGGCCAATTGCTGGGACAGGCGGGGCACGGGGGAGGGGCCCTGCGGCCTTCAAAGCACCGGCGGCGCCCAGGCCGGCCACGGGATGAGTGGCCCAACACCATCACGGTGGTGGAATACTTGATGTGGCCCAGCCTCACCCAGACTCTACTTCCAGCGGCCCCCAGGTAAGTTGAGTTTGAGACCCCTGTTCTAGATCCACAGGATGATCCATCCCATTGATGATTTCTGTCTACCACTCACACAGAGGAGATATAGCCCGATTAAGTAAATTAAGCAAAAATACCTATATATACATGGACAAGTTTTTAACACCAACTGCGCCCGGCAGCCTACGCCAGAGGAGGGCCGCCTCCTCGCTGTGTAAGACCGCGCCGCGCCGGAGGGGAGCTGCTGCCTTGCCGCGTAAGACCGCGCCGCCATCCACCGCCCACTTGGCTGCTCCGCCACGCCCCAGCACGTGTGGCAGGCGTGCTTCGGACGAGGCGGGGGACGCAGGGCCGGCGGCTACAAAGCCCGCGGGAGGAGCGCGCCAACAGCAGCACCAACTGCGCCCGGCAGCCTACGCCGGAGGAGGGCCGCCTCCTCGCTGTATAAGACCGCGCCGCGCCGGAGGGGAGCCGCTGCCTTGCCGCGTAAGACCGCGCCGCCATCCACCGCCCACTTGGCTGCTCCGCCACGCCCCAGCACGTGTGGCAGGCGTGCTTCGGACGAGGCGGGGGACGCAGGGCCGGCGGCTACAAAGGGCGTCGGCCAAAGGGCGGTCGCCGCCGTTCGGGTGGCCGAGCAGGGGGCGGGGCTGGCCAGGGGCTTGCGCTTGGCGATGGTAGGCCCTCCTGCTGGGCTGTGAGTGAGGGGTGAGTGTGTGTGTGTGTGTGTGTGTGTGTGTGTGTTTTTAGTAGTATTTTAAATCTTTTTATGGAGTCGTCCCTGGCCATGCTGCCGCTTATGTTTCCTGGGGAGCGCACGGGTGCCGCCATTGAGGTGGTTATGGGCAGGGGACGTAACAGCGTTGGGAGCTTAACGTGTCCGCATAGAAGAAGGAGGGACAGATGGCTGACACCTGTCCCTACTTCTGGTTTTGCTCCCAGCCAGAGGGTGCCAGGGAGTCTCGTCAGTCGCCCCTCCGGCCTGACGGTGCTGTTGCTTAATGCCAGGTCGGTCAATAACAAATCTGCCCTCATCCAGGACCTGATTGTGGATGAGGGGGCCGACCTGGTCTGCATAACGGAGACCTGGGCGGGAGAGGGGGGGGATGTTGCCCTCTCCCAAGTGTGCCCGCCCGGGTATCTGGTCCAGCACTGCTCACGGCTGGAGGGGAGGGGAGGGGGGGTCGCTTTGGTTTACCGAGCCTCCATCTCCCTCACGGGACTTCCGGTCCCTTCGAGACCAGGGCTGGAGTGTCTCTATTTGGTGTTGGGCGACCGAGACAGACTGGGGATTCTGTTGGTGTACCGCGCACCCTTCTGCCCAACAGCCTCCCTGCCTGAGCTGACGGAGACTGTCTCGGACCTGGTGTTGAGGACCCCCAGGATGTTGGTCCTGGGGGACTTCAATCTCCATGCTGAGGCTAGTCTGACCGGGGCGGCTCAGGACTTCATGGCCTCCATGACGGCCATGGGGCTGTCTCAACATGTCACCGGCCCCACCCATGAACGGGGACACACTCTGGACCTGGTTTTCTCGACGGGGCAGGAAGAGGGTGGTCTGAGGGTGAGTAATTTATGCTTGACTCCCCTGTCATGGTCAGATCACTTCCTGGTGAGGTTTATGCTCGAGAGCGACTTCTCCCTCTGTAAGGGTGCGGACCCGATTATGTGGGTCCGCCCCCGGAGCCGGATGGATCCAGAAGGATTCCTGAAGGCCCTGGGGGAGTTTCCGGCTGACAAGACGGGTGCTCCTGTCGAGGCTCTGGTCGAACTGTGGAATGGGGAGATGACCAGGGCTGTAGACACGATCGCTCCTAAGCGTCCTCTCCCACCGGGCAGAGCCCGCTCTTCCCCTTGGTATACTCCTGAATTGAGGGCGATGAAGCAGGTTGGGAGACGACTAGAGCGTAGGTGGAGGAAATCACGAGATGAATCTGACCGAACACACTTAAGAGCCCACTATCGGGCCTATGCTGTGGCGGTGAGGGCGGCAAAAAAGAGATTCTTTTCCGCTTCCATTGCCTCCTCACAATGCCGCCCGGCGGAGCTCTTTCGAGTGGTGCAAGGCCTGGTCCGTCCAGGTCCAAAGGAAGACCTGATTCCACCCTCAAAGGCCCGCTGTGACGACTTTGCCAGGCATTTCAGGGAGAAAATCGCTCAGATTCGGCACGAGCTGGACACCACTATTGATTCAGAGGTTTCAAAGGAGACACCAACGCTGCCGTCTGGTCCAGATTTATTGGATGAATTTCAGTTATTGCGGCCCGATGATGTGGACAAGGTGCTTGGGCGAGTACGTCCAACCACTTGCCTTTTGGACCCTTGCCCGTCTTGGTTAATAAATGATTCCAAGCACGGGATTGGAACCTGGATCTTGGAAGTGGTTAACGCTTCTCTGAGGGAGGGTCGGGTGCCTGCCCCTTTGAAGGAGGCGGTAGTCCGACCGGTCCTGAAGAAGGCGTCACTGGATCCAGAGATGGCCACTAATTATAGACCAGTGGCCAACATCCCATTTCTGGGCAAGGTGTTAGAACGAGTGGTGGCGGGACAACTCCAAGCACTCTTGGATGAAACTGATTATCTGGACCCATTGCAGTCCGGCTTCAGACCCGGGTACGGTACTGAATCTGCCTTGGTCGCCCTGTATGATGACCTGTGCAGGGAGAAGGACAGGGGGAGTGCGTCCCTGTTGGTTCTGCTGGACCTCTCAGCGGCTTTCGATACCATCGACCATGGTATCCTTCTGGATAGGCTTCCAGGATTGGGGGTTGGAGGCACTGCTTTGCAGTGGTTCCGCTCCTATCTCAGTGGCCGGTTCCAGAAGGTGGTGCTGGGGGACTATGGCTCTGCGCCATGGCAGCTATGCCATGGAGTACCGCAGGGGTCCATTTTGTCCCCTTTGCTGTTCAACATATACATGAAACCGCTGGGAGAGGTCATCAGGAGGTGTGGGCTGCGGAACCATCAGTACGCTGATGATACCCAGCTCTACCTCTCGTTTTCCACCAATCCAGGTGAGGCAGTGGCTGTGCTGAACCGGTGCCTGGCCGAGGTAATGGGCTGGATGAGGGCCAATAAACTGAAGCTCAATCCAGACAAGACGGAGGTCCTGTTGGTTGGTGGATCGGGCTTCGGAGAGGGTGAATTGAACCTTGTCCTGAATGGGGTTGCACTCCCTCTTAGGGACAAGGTCTGCAGCTTGGGAGTGCTCCTCGACCCAGAGCTTTCACTGGAAGCTCAGGTAACAGCAGTGGCGAGGAGCGCTTTCCTCCAGCTTCGGCTAATTCATCAGCTGCGCCCCTATCTGGAGAATGACTGCCTTGCGACAGTGACACATGCGTTGGTGACTTCCCATTTGGACTTCTGCAACGCGCTCTACGTGGGGCTACCCTTGAAGACGGTCCAGATACTTCAATTGGTCCAAAATAGAGCTGCCAGGCTGCTGACGGGGACTGGACGTTATGTTCACATGACTCCAGTTCTCCGTCAGCTTCACTGGCTTCCCATTGAAGTCCGGGCCCAATTCAAGGTGTTGGTTATGACCTATAAAGCCCTAAACGGCTTGGGTCCTGGTTACCTGAAGGAGCGCTTACATCCTTATATGCCCAGCCGCCCCCTGAGATCGGCGGGAGAGGCCCTTCTCCGGGAGCCCTCCATGGAAGAAGTTAGGAGGGTGGTTACTCGGAGGAGGGCTTTCTCAGCGGTGGCGCCTAAGTTATGGAATGCGCTCCCCAGAGAGGTCCGCCTGGTGCCGTCGGTATTTGTTTTTCGGCGCCAGGCGAAGACCTTTTTATTTAAGCAGTATTTTAAATGTTAATATTATTGAATTTTATTTGGCCAGGGCGGCTTGTTTTATAGTGTATGTTTTATATTATATATTTGTATTTTATTGTATATATTTTAAAATGTTATTTTAATTTTTTGTTGTAAGCCGCCCCGAGGCTTCGGCGAATGGGGCGGCATAAAAATGTTTTAATAAATAAATAAATAAAAAATAAAAATAAATAACAGAAAGCCAAAGATTAACTGTGCAACATTGATCACCCAAGGAATATTCTTCCATGTGCCAGATTGCTTGGTCATTCCGGCAATCTCGCCTAGATCCAAAGAAACAAGATTCAATTTGAACCTCAATTCGGCACTTTGCAAAAACATGTTGATTTGGCTTAGGGTCGCTTGGCTTAACTCAGGTTCAAATCCAAACCTTCATGCCTCCCACTTGGAAGTTTTGAAAGGCTATATATTTCTCTCTTCTTCATAACAGCAAGACATATGCAGGCATCGCAGTCTCAAATGAGGGGAGCATGTCTGCCAAATGTTAGACCAATAGATATAGAGTTTGGGTATGCAATGTGCCGTTTTATTTAGATTTTTAAAATTATGACATCTTCATCTTTTGTATGTATGCATTTTTAAAGAAAATGTTACAGTCTGGGGGTTTCTAAAACAAAAAAGTGTTTATACTTCTATTTTTTATGGGCATTTGTTATAAAAATGTCATACAATATAGTGGTGGCCCTAGTTGATAAACCTGCAAGAGTTGAGACAAGATAGGTTCTATGGTTTGTTTGTTTTGTGAACAGGGGTTTTCAAATGGGGCAGGTGACTCACTTCCCTTTAAACCCTTCCATGTCTTGGGGGGAGCACTTTGTATGAAAATTACCTGTGTCCCTAGGCAAGAAATATGCAAAGTTTTAGAGAAATAAGTGAGGCTAGGAACTTACAATGAATAAAACCCATATTAGAGCTTTTTGTTTTCTGCTCAGTTGGCACCAAAATCATCAACAGTGCAATAGGACAGAAGAGGACCATATGGAACATATAGCATCAGAGGTAGAAGGAACATCCAGCAAGCAGCCCAGGACCCATTGATGCCACTAAATCTCTTAACAGTCCTACTTTTGGGAGAGAGAACTAGCTAAGAACATTGAAGACTGGCTTGCTGCTATCATATATTACTTCAGCATCCCTCCCCAGAAGCACTGGATCAGAGAATCCTGGTACAGCCATTCACTATGACTGAAAGCTATTGCAACTAGTCAGCAACTGCACTAGCTCCTGTCCATCTCCTCTCTCCCTTCTACACTGGTGTTTTCCTTATATGGAGAACTTGGGGGGAAAGGTATAAATTTTTGCAGACACATCACTTGTGTATCTGTGGACACAGAGAAACCCAGGCCTTAAAGCTGTCTGGGGACACTAGCTTTGCCCCACTAATGAGCAGCACAGCAGCATTCATGAGGCTCTTCCTCCCCTCTCCTCTCCTATCAGTCTTCTCACTGGTATCCCAGAGGACACCACAGGAGCACTGAGGGGTACAAGGATGTCAACCGCCAAATTTGAGCACTTTCAGCAACTGTCATCCACTGCCCTGCCCTGCAATTCTGCTGATGGAAAGCAGGAGGGGGGTGATGTTACATGACACACTAAATCACCAGCGACATGTCATGTGAGCCTAGTCATGTGATCAAAATCTGAATTTTGATTCAGACCCCTTCCGATCTATCTGAATCAGCACAGCCCTTGACTGGGCTCTATTTTGTTGTAAAGGGGAAAGTTTTCTAAAACTTGATGTTTGAGAGATTCCCCTTTCCCATAAAATCAGAGTAAACATAGTAGTGGCAGTGTTTACAAAGGTGGAGCAAAGTATGCTATCCTGCCCACACAGAAATCTTTTATAAATACAAGCTGTAAAAGGTTTAAACTTAAACTGTGGAACATTGTTGAATCATGTGACATGTAGAGTGATAATTATTTCCGAAAAATTGATTCTGTATTTTCCAAAACACTTATTCTATACCCACCTCTGGATTTTGATCCAATTTTCTCTGGAGCAAAACTCACTATATCATGCAAATCTTGAATAATTGCATCAAGGCCTGCAGCCAAAAGCCTTCTTTGTTCAGTGAGTTCTTGGACTTTTTGTTCTAGATAAAAATATTTTAACAAAAATGCTAAGTAAATAAAAATAATTAAGCACAGGCATCAAAGCACAAGAAAATTAGCACGAAAAGGCATTATTTACCTTTTGGAATAACTATTTGCAAAAGCTATATAATACCTGCTTGCAGTGTGCTGTGTGTTGTTGTAATGGTTTCTTTCTTGCTTTTTGTTCCTTATAAACCATCCAGAGACTTTTTTTTAGTAATGGATGGTATAGAAATAATAATAATAAATAAATAAATGGCCTGGGAGCCCCCTTCTGACTTGCTCTGTTTCTATGTTTCTAAGATGACTCAAAGAGCACCCCCAAGCTATGAACATGCTCCTTCAGAAGGAGTTCAACCCTATCTAGAACTGGTTGAATGCTCTCCATCCTGGCAGAGGAACAACCCTCCAGCAGCATCTAAGTCTTGTCTGGATTGTGCTTCAGTGTACTAACCCCCACCCAGTCCATTGTTGCAGCCAGACACTTGGTTTAGCACATCCACAGCCTCACTTGCTGATGATGAAAAGGAGAAATAGAGCTGCGTGTCATTGGCATATTGATGGCAATGCACTCCAAAACTCTAGATGACCTCACTCAGCCATTTCAACTAGATGTTAAATAGCACAGGGGACAGAATAGCCCCCAAAGAATTCTATGCTGCAGAATCTACTGGGTTGAATAATATTACCCAACCCCCACCCTTCTTATTACCCAATAACCTCCAAAGAGGAGTAGAGCCACTGCAATAGAGTACTCCACCTTCCAGCTTAGAGACTCACCCTAGAAGGATACCTTGCTCAATAGTATCAAAAGCTGTTGGAAGATCCAGAAATATTGACAGGATCAAACTCCCGCATCTCTTTCCCAACATAGGTCATCATATCCAATCAAAGCTGTTTCCATCCCAAAACCTGATCAAATACTGAAAACTAATACTTCCCATCCAGGAGTGCCTGGAATTCCTTGGCAACCACCTATTCCAGAACCGTACTCAGGAAAGAAACATTCAGACCCTCTTTCAGACAGCACAGAACCATTCTTCTCACAAGAGTCATTAATCACTTCCCTGGCCCAGCCAGTTGTTCCTTCCTTGCTGGCTTTTATAAACCAGGGCAGTCAAGATTCCACAAACATGGTCAAGCACATTTTCAACATCCTTAAGCTGTACCATCTGAAACCCACCTAATAAAACTGGACCAGGTTGTGGTTTGGGTATTTCAACAGATTCAAATGCTTCAACTCTGAAATCTAAGTCCTGGTGGATGCAAGATTTTTTCCCTGGAAGTGCCCAGCCAGTATATTATAGTAGGCCTCAGATGGGTCTAATATCTCCTTGGGGGCAGCATGTAACAGGCCTCAGGCAATCCTAAAAAGTTCCAGTGGGTGTCAAAATGAAGAATGAATACAGACAGTAAGATGCTTTCTCTGTCATGCTCACTGTCTCTAAATATATTCAGTTGTAGGCACACACCAGGCTGGGTCACATGCTCCCTGCCTTATCCTGGGCATTGTTGGGGGCATAATGCATGTGGACACCTCCTGCTCAAACAGGGAATTTGGTGAAATACTGGAAAGTTACCCAGAACTATCAATTTGGTGGACAGAAAATGTAAAGGGAAAATCATTAAAATTATATGGAAAAGAGTTTTAAATAGGATTGTAGCACAACTATCCAAATCTCTAGTAAACTCATCCTTAGGCCATTTTGTATTGTGGGTATGTTCAGGAAGGGGCTATACTTTCAATGGCACATGCACCATAACTAGAAGGTCCTGGGTTCAATCTCTAACTTCAGATAAGGCAGGAAGAACTCCTTTCATGGGATGCTGGGGTATAGAATCTTCCAACAATTAATAAAACAGATTAGAATTCATTTTTTTCTATTAGACATAAGCAAAAGCACAACCCATCACTACTGTAAATATATCTAGCCCATGTGGTATTTTGCATTTTATTTTTATTTAAAATCCATATAATTGGCCTCTAAATGAATATTAAACTTTGGTGTTAAAATATTCTATTTTACCTACTAACACACACACACACACACACACACACACACACACACACACAG